TACTTTTTATACATTTTCCCCACACCTTTTTTGTATGTCTTTTCCATACTTTTTTTGCATTCTGTATCTATCTATTCCATACCAATTCTGTATTTATTTTTATAGTAATAGGGAAGAAATTTCAGAAATCCAAAAGAAAAATGGGACAAATGTTGAAGAAGATAGAGAACAATTGAAGAAAAAGCAAATTATGATTCATTATTTTATTAATAGTGGTTCAATTTATAAATTTAATATGATTACTTTATTTTTACTAATTGATAATACTTACATGATATATTTAGAAAAAATTGGGTGTTGGAGTTATTTTAGCATTGCATTTAGTTATAGTAGCTAATTAGTACTGTAAAAAATTTAGCATTAATAAATGCAATAAATATTACTCAATATTAATCATTTCGATTTTGTCAAATTTATCTATATTGAATTTAATCAATGAGTGTGATTATTAACAATGTATTATGATGTTGTTGCTAAATTTGATGTGATTAAATTTTGATAATTTATCCATATTTATCTATATCAAAAATAATCAACATATTATCAAATTGATTTTCATCAATATATATCCCCTTAAAAAATTTCCTGATGGATCTATTTCTATATTAATTATAAGAACACAAACAGAATGAGTGAATATATTATTATTCTGCATATATTTAAGAAGTAATATTTTAGCATTTTAAAAAACAGTATGAATTTTATAACTTTAATGTTACACCTTTAAAATTGTTTCAAATTCATTAAAAGGATTTTTGATTTTAAATTAATATCAAGCAACTTGAATTTTTGAATAGAGGAAAAGAAAATTTTACTATATGTTGCAGATCACCCTAATATCACAAAAATGAAAATTAATGAACAGGAGAGACTGTCATATATAAGGAATGAATTTTCACAATTGATTTCAATTTTTTTATACAGTTTAAAATGCTTTTACAAGGGTATCATGTAGCCCATTCTTGCAATATATCATGTGTAAATAATTACACAAACTTGAAGCTTTACACTTTGTTGTTATCATATCCCTTTGAATCCCACAACTTTCATAATATGATTTACTTGAAGAAAAATTGCCTGAAATTAAACATTGCACAGAATGTAAAACCACTGAATCAGCTAAATTTCATCAACAAAAGGCAATAAATGGAAAGAAGCTGAGAACAACAACTTAGTGAAAGTAACATTATATGAATTTTGTAGAAAATCTTTTAAAAGAGAACCTAGGAGAATAAAAACCACAGATGTGGAAGGGGAAGAGGAAGAGGTAAGTGAAAAGATTGATTTCACTAGAGCCATTAAGGTCCTATATACAATTTTGATGAAATATGAAGATTGCTCCAAGAAATAGAACCAAGCTTAAAGGGATTTTTTGACCAACTCTATTTAGCAGCTCAGCCATTTGAATGTAATAGACCATATGAAGAGATTAATGATGGTGTTCATGTGTTATCTTCTTCTTGTTTTAAATAATACAAAAATTAACTCTTTTAAGTTTGACCTTGCATTCTATCTAGACTCAATAGATACAAGTCTTGGAGTAACTACAACATCAAGAGCTTAGACCATAAAAAGAAACAAGTTGCAGATGAACATGAGAAATATGTAGAGAATGCACTTACAAAATATTCAAAAAATACATTCTTGTTGAATGTTGATGATTCACGTCCAGAGACAATCAGTATCCTTTAATTACTAAAACTTTGTTACTTCTAGGAACCATCTACAAACATTTTTTGCAATTACATATAATGTGATTACACTAACTATACTAATTTGAATAATTGTAGTGTATATACTCACATGTGTACATGGTTATCACAATCATTGTCTATAAAGATATCAATCTAAATGTTTGATATCTTCAAGTCAAAATCAAAAAAAATGTCAACACTAAAAGTATGATGAAAAATATTAAATGAAAATGAATTTATTGAAAATAACGAAAATACAGTTGATGATGATCCGGGCAATGTTGAATCAGCAACAGATGACAGCAACAATGGAAATTTTATTAGAACA